TTCTTAGTAAAAGAAATGGCTTTGATTAAAGAATCTGAGGGGCAGAAAATAAACCCTGTTAGTAAATAGTTCTTTTTTTTTTTTTTTGTACAACAACATTCACTTAGGAAATTGCGTAAGACCTTTAGAGAGATTTAATAAAGCTATTGATTGCATTATGCAGCATTAGGAAAGGGCAAAACCATACTTCAGGTTTTCATTTGTCAAGACTAAAATAAACTGACATTAGTCCATGCTTTCTCTTAATTGTTGAAATGTTGAAATTGTTGAAATTGTTGTCAAAAAAGTGAAATACCCGGTAGCAAGAAATCTACACCTGAAATCTTGAAGAAAGCCTCTCTGAAGAAATGAATGAAAATAATGTTGTGAGCAGCATGTAGGTAAATGCAAATTATTTTTATAGCATCTTTTTTGTAATAAAATATTATATTATAAGGGAAAAACAGGGAGTTCATGGAGTAAGCGATTTATCTCTATGTGCCTCCTAGTTCTATTAAGGAAAATGTGTGTGTAAAGATGCTTGACACAAAATTCTTGTTCCTCATTGTCTGTTTTCATTTACAAGTTGCAGTGTTTCAGGGCTCTTGCATTTATTTAGGAGACTTAATCGTATGATAGTAGAAAATTTGCAGAAATTGTTCACGTATTTAGTTATCTATTCTTTTTGTTTCCTTATTAGGTTCTTTTTATCTTCTACCTTGAGTATTAGAAATTTAATACTGTCATATGTTCTGCAGGATCTCGTCCTGCAAATCTAAACCAAATAGATGTGCAGGTTTGGTTTAGATCTAAACCAAATAAAATTGCAGTACATAATATTAGTAAATGTGTTGATGTGTGTGGATGTCCTACTTTCTGTCTTTATACACACACTTATGTGTACAGTAAGAATGTGTATCTGTTATACCAGTATCCCCATTAGACTTAAAACTGAGGTGGTTAAACTAGGTGGAAAAGGTGCTTTGATGCTTGTAAAAGAGTAGGATGATGAAGGAGGGAGGAAGGATCCCCACATTCAGGGTACTCTGCATGAGAGAGTTGGATCTTGTTTTCCTTTGTGTCCTATTCAATTCTAATCCTGCTCTCATATAAAGCAAGAGTAAAGTTCCCAGTTATGTGGTTTGGGAAACTTAATGGTTTTTATGGGTGTCTAGAAAATACTATAACTGAGTGGGGGAAAAGGAAAAACAGTATCATTTGTTCAGATTACTCAGATACTAACTTCATAGATAAAGTTCAAAAAACATCGATCAACTTAGGTGTTAAATTGCTAATTTCTATTTTCCACTGTGATGATAGTTGTTAATAATGTCAGATAATTATATTTTGATATAAGCTCACATAGTTATGATGCCTTAATTAAATGTTTGGAAATAAAAGAAGCTGTTGAACTATGTACAGTTCTTGTAACTTGAAATATTTTTCATGAGATTAGATTTTAAAAATGTCCAAATGCTATCCTTGTATTCAAATAATTGTACCAGTATAGTATGTTAGTGTGAAGTTCCAACATGTTTTTGTCCTGATGACTTTTTGGGTGATTTTATTTCAGCTGTATAGTTTTTACTTCTTGGACATGAAATTAGTCTCCATGAAGGCCAAGAGGTGGAAGCCCTCTATTATTGCAGGGGTACCCAGGACTCTCTCCACTGCTGTATCAGGAAATCTCAAGTAACAGTTTTATGATGTATGAGGATATTATTCTCTGCAAGCAATAACACGCATTTCTATTTCCCCAGCAATATCCACATAATCAAACATTCACAAGTGCTTTACAAAGAATTTAATTAAATAGTGTGCAGAGTAACTGGATGCAGCACGCACACAAGCTGTTACATATTCAGTAGTTCACATTTTGCAGTTTGTGCAGAATGCTTTTGAGCAGTACAATGTGTGAATGATATGTCTATCAAAATGTGCATAATCACCCCTCCTTTTGTACCTTGCTCCTTAAGAGTTATACTAAAACCTTAGTAGATGTCACCTCCAGGAGCACAGGATACCTTCCTCAGTGCTCTAATGGTATGATAAACAGAGGGAAATACAAATTCTCATGTTGAGACTTGAACATAAAACACTGTTCCGCTGAAATCAAATGTTTATGACTCCCCAGAGAAAGATAGAGATTATTGTGTCTTTTACCACAAAACTAGGTGTGTTCAGAATTTTATTTCAAGATAGTAGAAATTTGTTGAGCAATCAAGACCAGCCACTGAAGAATTTAATTTCTAAATTAACACCAAGACTGGACGTTCAGAGTTTAGAAGTGGACAATAAGAAGCAAAAGATTTCTCATTTTAGAATAATGAGTATGTTCAGAGTTCCTTCTGTCAGTCACTGGAGATGAAGAAAGTCTCTTCATCTAAAGTGCAGTGCCTCAGACCCTGCACTAGGGAAAGGCAGAAAAGTGTCCATACATTGTAGTACACTTCTTAATTCATTCAGCATTATTGGTATGCTAATCTCACCTGCAGGGATTAGCATTCTGGAAACCAGCGGGGTTATCTATTATGTTTTCTTTTGTCTGTTGAGAAAAGCCCTTTAAGCATTAGCCGATGCGTGAGAGGAGTTTCCAGGCTTGCAGAGCAGTGGGGCTGTGTTGGATGAATGTGATTTAGAATATCCCTCTGCGGTTGTCTACCTGCAAGGCAGTTAGCCGTCCATCAGGCTGGAAGGTTTTATTGGTGTGTCAGTGCTATAAAGTATCGGTCTAAACCAGCAGACCAATACCAATGACAGAAATGGTGAAAGACAGTCTATAATTAGCCTGTAAAGGTGTTTAGTATGAGGCCTCACCCTGGTTCCTCAGTTCCACAGAGTTATTCCAGTTTATTACCCGCTGACACTGACAAAATCTGTCTGTTATGGCTGGCAAGAAAGTCCAAAAACTACAAATGAACCCAAAGGAGAGAAAGGAAGCAAAAAGATCAGTTAAAAGTAGGGAACTGATTTTACTTTCATGCTAGTTCTGTTTTGGTGTCACTTTGCTTATTTGAGGGGAATTGCTGAAAACTTAATTGGTGTAAATAGGAACAGAGTCTCTGTATCCTTCTGAAGATGCCTTTTGGAGTTTAATCAATGTAGGAGAAGTTAAGGCTTCCTTTACAGAATTGAGAATGGGCAAGTTCCCTGTTTATGTGTTCAATGTGAATGAAGATTTGCCATTAACTTCAGTGATTTCACCCAGTAGCCTTTGTGTCCCTTTTTTCTTCCTTATCCCTTCTTTATATAGCAGGCAGTAGTTTTTCATTTTCTGTGTAATTTGTAACAAGTAGCAAGCTATTCTAAAAAACTAGTACAGTTTGAGCTTCAATTGAAGAAGAAAAGGAAAGCATGTAATTTTGAATTTACTTGCATGTCTAATCTTGAACATCATGTTTTGGATTTTTGTTTTATTTTCTTTAATTAGGCTCTTGTTATAGTGTCTGTTTTATGTAAAGTATTTATTCTTTACCATTTGTAGTCTGTATCTGCAATTTGGGTATTTTCAGTTTGCTTGTATTTGGAAGTAGCTGCTAGACTCACTCTGCTTTTACTAGGAGTTTGGGGTTTTTGTGCTTCTTGCAGCCAGCCCTTTTGGGGAGTGCTGGAATATATCCAAGTTCTCCATTCTTGGTATTTCAGTGGCAACTTCCTGTGAATCCTAAAGCAGAGCTCCTGCTGACAGGTTCTTCTCCAAGCCAATTCTACCATGCATGTCAGCAAGCCAAAACAGACAAACTTAGCATATGTGTCAGTGCTGTGATGTAATTTAGGATATTATTTAGAATAAGCAGGTCAGAGTTTTTCTTTTTCAGGTTAGGAAGTCAACCCAGAGACCTTACATCCCACACAGGGAAATGCCACCTAGATATACTGGTGTTAACTGCAAATGAATTAGCTTTGGAACCAGAAGTAATTCAGCCAAATGAGAGGAGTGTGGCAGCCAGGCTAATTAATTAAGAAGCCAGGGTAATGAGTTTGACTGGAGGGAGCACCATACTGATGTGACAGTGTAGCTTCCAAAATGCTGTCTGATTTTTACACCTGTTACACTGGACATCTTGTAGACATACAAGTTGTGTCTGGGCTCTGTGAGATATTTTTGCCATGAAGCAGCATTGTGTATTGGTTTTTTTCCCCTGTGTCAATTTACCGTAATTTTAGATTTATTTCCAGACTGATAGTCAATTTTAGTTCCTTCTCAACCTTCTATGGTAAGATTTTTCTAACACCTGAATAGACATTGGAATACTGTTTTGTTCAGCCTCATGCCACTGAGAAAAATTCCCCACCATGTTGGGTTTTTTTTTTAACATGTTGAGGGATCTTCCCATCTTTTTCCTAATATTTTGTCACTGAATACAAGACTGAAGTAATACTCCAGACGTTGTGTATGGCATCATTGTTCCAGCCTGAGGGGCTGAAGAGGTGGCTGTCAGCATGCCTGTTGTCAGAGGGTGCATTCTGACAGTAGTGCACTCTGAAAAAAGCCTTATTTTGTAAGAACTGGTGATTCGGAACAGTTTGCCATCTTTCTGGTTGTTGTGAAACAGTAGTTCTTCCGTGCTCCCCTTAATGTCAGTCCTTACATACAGTTGGATGTGTCAGATGTTCATAAGGGAGTCACTTTAACGAAAAGATAAAAACTACTTGCGGTAAAAATGTATTATTACTACATTGATATGGGGTAGTAAACATGAGAAGCAGTATCAAACCCAGAAGTAAATCAACAAGGTATTGTAAATATGCTGGATTCTGTATGGAAAACTTCAATTAGAAATATGAAGTACTGTGGTGCAGCAGTTACATGGTAATCATATGTGAACAGATAGTGGTATAAGATAAAACAATGAATATTGTATTAATGTTTCGTAAATAACATTACTAGAGACCTGAAATTGTTTTGTTTTTTACATGTATTTTATTTAAAATTTGGTCATTTCTGGCCTTACTTAAAATAGCTCTTCAGCATAGTAGCTCCCACAAGGAGTTAACATATATTTTTTTTCTATTTCTAGATCTGTTAGCTGTGCCTAAGCATCCGTATGCTGCTATGGAGAACTGGGGACTGAGTGTCTTTGTGGAGCAAAGGATACTACTAGATCCCAGCATTTCTTCTATATCATACCTGCTGGATGTCACCATGGTCATTGTGCATGAGCTATGTCATCAGGTATTAAGGGTGTTCAGATATTTGATAATAATGTCAGGAACCATGCTTTCCCTTTCAGAACTGAAGATGGATTTGTGTTGTTCACATAGACAGTTATAACTTCTGTTGTAACTGGAGTCCAAATAATACGGTCATCTGTAAGACACATCACTACATTGCAGAAACTGGGAAGACTAAAAATGAGGATAAAAGAGAAAATTAATAGCAACGAACAACTTCCATATCTTCTGTATGATTATATTCTGTATGTTTGCGTGTGAGTGTGTTATTGGTGTGTAGACTAAACACGCTGATAACTGTAGAAAATGATTTATTGCAGAACTATAGCAGATTCATGCTGAGTTATGTCAAAAAATATTTTGGCTGAAATCAATTTCGTAGTCATCTTCTTCCCTCACATATACACATACTTCCATTTTCTTTTTCTTTTCTTTTCTTTTTTTTTAATTTTGATATTGACCCTCTGTTTACTAATGGTGGATAATTGAGTCTTTATATTTACAGAAACTTTTGTATCAATAAGAAAACTTTGTAATAAACCCATATTACAATTTATTTTACATCTCTTCCATCTTCTTATCTCAAACTAAACACATTACCAGTGTTTAGTAATATTGAGTTGAATGCAAATGTTATTGAAGAAATTTGCTACAGGGGCAGGAAACCCTTTCTTGCACTCATAAGAAGCATAATCATAGCCTTCAGGTTAAAATGAATAAAATCCTACTGTGTAATCAGCATGGCTTACATCTGTGACTTTACATAGTATTCTTTAGAAGGCAATGCAAATTCTTAACACTTTCTGTGAATAAAAAATACCATATAAAAGGGAGCCTTTATAATGGAGTTCTGGTAGATGAACCTGGAAATAATAATGTTTTGTTCATATTCATGTTTCACATTAAATCTCCCAATGAATATGAAGTCCTCAAGTATAACATGAAATTTTTATTGAAAGTTATTGTTGGTTTGTTCTCTATACCATCATCTGATTTTGTTATATGCTCTTTATTGTGCAGTACAATAGAGTAGCACACTGTTCAGCTAGAAAAATTACAGTTCCTTTTGGAATCGAGTGTGGAAAACACATATTAGGTCATCAAATCCCAGCTCCCAAATCCCGGCTCCTGTTCATATTAGATTCTTCCACGTGGTGTGTTTTGTAGTGCTGGGTTCAGTGCCCCTGATTACAGGGTTATGCCGCTTCCCTTAAACACTTTTGGTTAAATCTGATGGTCAATAACTTTTTCCTAGTGTTCAGCCTAAGTCTTCCTTTTTCTGAAGTCATTCAATACTTCCAGTTGTTCTTTGTATCGCTGTAATAATTTCCTCTGCTTCCAAAGCAATTTATACTTCAGATGTGGGCAATTATCACATCAGTAACTTGCCAAGTTTGTTTATTTGATTCTCATTGAAACCGAAGCCTTTTTACATTGTTCTGGGAGTATCGGAGGATCACAAAGTGGGTGAAAACTCTATTTGAATTTATTTTAGGGTAGCAATGAAGTTATAGAGTGCTTTTAAGTGACCTTAAAAGTAGAAATAGAAGATTTTTTTTGGTGTCCATGTTGCTATTGCTGTTCACGTAACTAAAGTTACCTTCCTCCATTATGTGGCTGCTGTTTCTGTTTTAGTACCGTGCGGATCAGGTCCTTGCTCAACTGCTTCACTGGATAGCTAGACAAGATAGAAAATATTCAGGTGGCAGAAATATCATTTCTACTTTTTAGATACAGAATTGAGTCATAGAGAATATGTTCATCTGCAAATAGAGTTTAAAGGGAGAAACCCTCCAAAAATACAAGCCACAGAACATTGTCTAGCACCTCCATTACAGTATTGTCTTTATTTAGCCAGTTTTTTCTCCATTTATTTTACCACACTCAGAAGCCCCTCAGGGCAGCGTTAGCTGTGGATAACATAGAGCAGGAACTGTAAATAATACTAGCTTAGCTGAAAACATATTGAACAGAGACCAGGTTGGGTCCAGGATCTCTTGCCTCTTCTGTTTAATTGTTAATTATTCACTGCATTTTTCATCCTCTTTTCATCCTGTGCATCATCTCACCTGCTAACCTGGGTTGGCACATGAATATTCCTCCCCTTCACTCATTTTTTTCATGTAGAATAACAGAGATTATCCAAAATCACTTCTGGCATAGCCAAAAGTAGAATCCACATCTCTGGTTTTACTTTTTATTTATTAATTTATTTTAAAATTTCAGGTGAGAGGAAAGAGAACTCCCCTAAAATACATTTTTTGAAGAGCTGTTATCATTTTCCTATTTCGCCCGATTTTAAAGCCATTACTTTGAGACTTATAGAGCATATCTGAGCATGTAGCAAACTGACCTGCATGAGACCCTTGTTACTTAGAGTAACACAGCAATTGCTTTGCTAGTGTTGTTCCCAAGATTAGAAAAATCAGATGAATATTAAGAATTTGAATTGTTACCTTTAGATATGACTGTTTAAAATCCGAATTCCCAAACCTGCTGGGTATTAATGCTTGAGCACAGTATTCAAGACAGACAGAAAAAGAGAGACAGCGCTGCAGCAGGACAAAGAAATTCTGTGGTTGTCAAAGTACGGGTAAAAAGCATGTAAGAAAGAATTTTACACCCCATTTCTTCACAGGTGACTTTGTATTGCTTCACCAGATACTTATTTTAGATACATGTTTTCAGAGGGTCACATTAAAATTACACGAGTAGCTTTAGTTTATTCATATTGTGGGTTGCTAGTGCTTGGTATTTTGGCTTCAGTGTTCTTTTACAACATTTTATGTATTTAATTAAAAAAAATTAATAATTGGAAGAAGAACTGTTTTGGCATAAAAGCTTTTCCTCCAAGCCCCAAACCACAAATGAGATATTGGTCAAAACACATATATTTCTACCAGCTTAAGTTGATAGCTTGAAATAATTACCATAATTTAGTAAAATTATTAAGGTAGAAATCAGTTTTATTTGCATATCACAGATCAGTCCCACCTACAGCCTTTGAAGAAAGAGTCATTTGAATTTATGCATTATGATTTTTTGTGATAGTTTTCCCACCTGAGCACAAACCTTGGTGTGACAGATTGAGTTAAACAGGCATGAAAGCAGAAGGAAAATTAAAAATTTCTAAATCAGTGTTTTTTAAATAATCTGTAAAGAAAGCATGTAGGAAAGAGTGTCCTTTCAGTGTGTCTGTAAAATGAATGCCTTCTGCACGTCAGGCTGAACGTAATATCTGAAGGAGATGAGAAATTTATGTAATCAATACGTATCAATTAATTTTTCTTTTCCAAAATGAAAAGAAGTAATGATCTTCACTCCAGGTGAAGTCCATAGTCAAATACCCAAATAAATAAATAAATAAATAAATAACTTAAATAAATGAAATGCTTCACTTACCTGTTTTCCTTTCAAACATGTAACACCTGGGAAGATAATAGCACTTTTCTGCTGGAAAAATTGGCTTCATTATTTGCAGTCTCTGGGACTGTTCTGTCTCTGACATTCATAACTATCCCTGATACTCTTCAAGACTAGTTAGGCACATTCCCTATATTTTCATATTGGTATCATGTGCTGGTTTAATGCCTGTAAAATATTTCTTCCTTTAGGTGGATAATTAAATGAATACTTCTAATTGTATCATTAATAAATAAACCCAGAAAACTCATGAAGGAGTACAAGAAATTCTCCTTTGTGACATTATAAGTTAATGTTATTAGCTCTTTTGAGTTAAAGGAGGATGTGTTATGAACTTTACAACCTTTATTTTTTAAATCTCTCTCTGAATAGTCATAGCATACCATGACTGTTGCTGGTTTCATATTTGTTGAGCAGTCCTCTTGTAATTCATGAAATAAACTCTGTGGTATTGCCTTTAGTTTGATTGTCATTACAAATCATTTCATCAACCTATTCTAGTATACTTTCATACTGTTCTGGTAGTGTGCTACTGTTAGCATTTTAAATTATGAGAAGTCCATTATCTATGTGACTGCATTTCTCATGTTTCTTTTTCTTTTCAGGTAAATGTGCTTAAGATCAGGATTTACCTTTATTGGTCCTGTAGAGAGTTAATTTATTGATAGCCTTCAACTAGATTCTGATCACTGAATGTCCATTAAGTTTAGTTTCACTTACTGTGTGAATATGACTGTTGCCAACTCTGTCTTTTCTCCTTAAATTCTTGAGTTGGTTGTCAATGACATTCACTGTCACGTTCCGCTTCATTTTTTTTCATTCAGATCCTATTTACTGAATGTTGTGTGGCAATCTGGTAATCTCAGTTTCTGTAGTTGTGTTCTTTGGAGCCCCTGTGTTCACTTCACTATGGATCTTCGTTGCAGCATTGATCTTTCCTTGCTGCTATTCTTACTCCACAAAGACACACACAGAAGCGAGGCCTTTCATTCAGGTCGCAGACAAAGCCTTCAAAAAACCAACCATCATGAAAGCAAACTGCTTGCTGGTCAGCTTGGCTTTCTTTCCTTCCTCACTCTCATTACAGCATCAGCAGCAGCTCCTCTGCTCTGACAGGAGTCTCTCCCTCTGGAATTCTTATTTGCTGCTCCCTTTCTGTGTATTTTCAGAGTTTATGCCTCCATTAAAGTTCCAAGTTATCTCTCTTGATTATGAGTTGATCTCATTTCTAATCACATTAAGAAAAATCTGGCAGAGAATTTTACTGAAACAAAGTTTCGTTATTTGTTTGGCAAAAAAAAGATGCTACATAGAGTATGAAATATGTTTTCATAACAGTGTATGTGTTCCTGTTCTTAACCACTGGGGCTGCAGTATCCGGGTTGCATAGGACAATTCCATTCATTTTAACAGGTCATCCATGAGCAGAAGAATCGATGACGCCTGTTTTCCTGTGAAATTTTGTCCTCATTCCTCTTCCAATGATCATTCCAGCTTTGTCTAAAATCCCTCTGAAACCCACATGTTCTGTGCCATGACAGGTTTGCAGCTGTTGATGGCTACTGAGCAGAATATCTCATGGCCATGTTCTAGCCTTGCCCTCAGTTCAGGTCCTTCTCCTCTTTTCAGCTGCTTATATTCATGTAATTTTGTAGGAGTTTAATTATCTTTGAGATCTTTGTCCTTCTTTCTAGATTTGATTGAAATCAGTGGGGAAGTTCAAGAGCCACATGGGGAGAATGGGAGAGGCAGTCAGCTCGAGTAGGGTTCCTTTGCATAAATGTAGGTGGGTAATGCCATTTTAGATATCCTCTGCCTCCAGTTGCCATTCAGGAAGGCTGCAGATCTCCTTTAAGTCCTGGATGAAATTTCCTAGGCCTGTGTGGGTATCTCAGATACCCATGGACATTCTTTTAAGTGGCATCAACTACCTGCTTTTAGCTATCTAAGTTCTATCCACAGAGAGATGGCATGATTGTATAAAACTGCTTTCCTCAAGAAACTGGCCAATGAATGGAGCGTCAGTAGTATTGTAAGTCTTAGTGGGCAGATATCGTGGAGGAAGAAATGCTAAAATTTAGGTCTGGGATATGGAGATTGTGTTCCCACTTTTTCAAGATTTGCACTAGTGAAGTTTTCAGGTAATGAATCAGATTACTGAAGTTAGAAGCCTTTTTCTGTCCATTGTATATGTCGGTCCCTTAAACCTAGGTGAGCATCTACTTGATGTAACTAAAGTAAACACAGTGAATACTCTCCTCAACACTTCTTCTCCCCTGTGTGTTATTTTCTAATGATTTACTTCAGTAACTTGTGTATCCTGTAAAGACTTGATTCTTTCATACATGAGAAAAACAGTTAATGAGTTTCAGTGGGCGGTATGTACTACTGTTTTTATTAAAACTTGTGAAGAATGTGTTCTTGTATAAAGGAAATGTATGTAAACATGGTTTCCTAAAAACTGTTTATTTGTATGTTCTTTGCAGTGGTTTGGTGACCTTGTGACTCCAGTTTGGTGGGAGGATGTATGGTTGAAAGAAGGTTTTGCTCACTATTTTGAATTTGTTGGGACAGACTACCTCTACCCAGGGTGGAACATGGTAAGTCCATTTCACTTTGTTAATTTGGAGACTTCCCACAGAAAAATTTCTCTGCTGTTTTACTTCTGCTTTTCTTATAGACAGGGACTGCTGAAAAATACCAAATGATGCATGCAAGTATCAGATGTCCAATAAAGCAAAATCACTAGGTGTGAAATAATTTGACAGCATTCCAAAAGTGTAATCTGCAATTTATTACAAAAGAAATAAGGTCATGTCTATCATAACTGAACATTAAAATAACTACTGTCTCTCTGTTCAGTAACATTTTGGATTGCAGCCGTTGTGATTTAACATGGACCAGTTTTGAAAATATTCAGAATACTGAATTTTATACATAAGCATGAGATAAATTGGAAAGAAAAGTCTGGCTAAAACATACTGTAAAACTGAGCATATCTTTTCTTACAGTATTCTGTTCTTCTCTCCCTAAGTTTACTTTTTTTATCTTCCTGCTATTATTTGACGATTTAGTACTACATACTAAATTAGAGATGGTGCAAATGAATTGAGAATTAGGTTTCAGTCTGATTTCCAGTGTACACTCTTGAACATGCTTTGTCAACTGGTGTGCAAATACTGGGAGTTTACTGAGGGCAAACTGGAAAGGCCATGCTGGGACATTCTTACGGCGTCCTTCTGTTATATCATATCACACCTCATCAGTTCCTAGTTTATATAAACTGCTGTAGTCTAAAAACATTGTGCTTATATGTAAAATAAGAGGTATGAGGCCTCAGGACAAAGAAGTTGCATGTGAGACCATGTTGAAGGTTGCTATATAGATTTCTTGTCCTTTGGAAAAAAATTTTCTGTTTGCTATCCTTTATTGTTCACACATGGGGCTAAATATTTTTTATAAATACAGTTTGCCTGATAGTGATTCGTTGTAGCTTGAATGTTTTGCTTAAACCCTTGCATACTAAGTTTGAAAATGTTTTTTCCCATTTCTGGGGGATTTATTGAGTATTCTTATCCCATCAAATTTTGTGTGCCATGAAATGAAAATGCTACAATTATGAGTTAAAGCTATTTTTTAAAAATAGTTCTATACAGGTACTCTTGCTTTAGGTATGCTTCTTGTGAAGTTTGAATTCTTTGTAGTATTTAGTTTTTTTTCAGGTGTCAATTTTGGTTTATAATTGCATTATGAAAAGGAAAGTAAATCTTTATCTGAACTAACATCTGTCTTGCATAGGTAGGCTTGTTGGGTTTACCTGGCTTTGGCTGTATTAAAACTCATTCTCTTCATCTTTATGAAAAACACATCCTGAATTACAATGTAATGATTCTAATTATGGATGCAATGAAATCTGGCAGGCTTTTATGATTTTAGCATAGTGAAATGTCATAGATGACAACGTTTATACACTGAATTTTATCTTCAAATCATCAGTCATTTGTTCTTCACATAATCAGTTTAACAAATCCAGAATAACTTTGCTTTAGAAGTCATTTGGAATATAGAATATTTGCTTGAAATTTCTGCGGAATGAATATAATATTCACTGTTATGCAAATGACATGCCCATCACGTGAAATCCTGGCGTCTTAGCAGAATACAGGCAAAATGAATGGGTTGAACAAGGTGTGACAGTTAAACTGGGAAATCAGACATGTGCTGCATAAAATAGAATTAACTACAGTAATATTCCTATGCTGGAAAAAATATTCATCTGTTAAGTTTTTCATTAAATTAAAAAGAAGATAGACATAAACTTTTCATAAGACTTTGGATATCGTTGGACTTTGATATAAAAATAGCCATACTGGCCTATTTAAATAATTTAAAAAATTGGTGGTAATTGATGAGTTAAAACACACTGCATTCTTTTGCAGTCTAGAGTAGGAATCGATACTGTGATGTTTCAGCCTTATTACAGAGACTGTAGGAAGAGGAAGCAAAACTGGATTTTGGCTTGTTGGATATTTTTGTTATCAGTATAAAGCACATTTCTGTTGAGATCATAGTGACATTTGTAAACTTGAAAAAATAAAAGGTGAGCATTTATAAAAAGAAAAACTGTTCCAAAGAACTTACTTTTTTTTCGGAAGTGAAGGGTACAGTACAAGCTTCATGAATCAGTTGCAAAAACAAAAACTGCAAACCTTATTTTCTGTAATGATAGTTAAACAGAGCAATGTTCCAGCATTCTGGGTAGTGTTTTGTCAGCAGTAATTCATACCTGTGAAATAAAAATAAAAGATGTTATGGTGTATGATGCCACAGCTTTTTACATCAGGAAAACAAAGAGTAATATGCCAAAATCCTCTTTCTTTCTAAAGAATTGGGAAAATTGGACAGGTAACTTCTTTCTCTTGTAGTTCTGAAATATTATCCTTGAAAGTTTCTTCAAGAAGCCATGGACTAAAACGTCTAATTCATCTTATTTTCAGTTTATTAAAGATTTGTTTTGGTCACATTTTCTTTTGGATAAGTGTAGAATCAGAAGACTAGTAGTCAATTCCTAAAAGTCCATTTTTGGAATGGACTTTTTTCTGGAAATGCAACTTGGGCGATATGAATCCATCTGAATTAAATGGATCTGTCCACAGCTCCCTGCCCAACTTGTTGGATGCTTATAGGCTACAGGCACATAAGCTTTCACCATTAAAGCTCCATAGGCCCCTAAAATTTGGCTACTACTTATCTGAAGATGCTTCTCTTTTAGCAGAGCTAAGCATTTTTCAGTGTCCTCCTTGGTGTGGCTGAACCTAGGACTCTTGAGGAGAGCTCTCCATTAGGCATGTCCACACCATTGTAACAGCACATTTGCTGTTTAGATCATAGTGACATTTGTGGAGAGCCATGGGTTTTATCTGAAACCATTTTTCTGGCTTCTAGGTTCTTTAGCTTGCTTAAACATGTCTTCCTTCTCTGAGGTTCTTCTTGATTTTAGCAGTTTCTCTTCAATTGTTTTTTAAGCTCTTCTTTTACCGCAGGAAAGATGAATGGATAACAATATTGACTGAACTGCCATGGAGCTGTAACGCTGTATTCAGCAATCCAGCACATCTAGAATTTCTTGTCTTGTCCAAAAGGTGTTTACATACTTCATTAGGCTTGCATAAATCTTAATGAGAAATGAAATCCAGTCCTTATTAAACACTTGCTGACCTTATGCCCTAGATCCTCCTATTAAAATTTTGGGTGAGGAACAGAATGAACAGAGTCATTCTGACCAAGGTGTCCATTATCCATTGCAGTTAATATAAGATACATCAGAAATCTTCTGAGGAAGTGGACAAAGTTTTGCTGGTTTTAAAACAGGAAGGTGAGCTTTCTGTGCTGAGATCATCTGTGGTTCCACCACTGGTCTTTAAAATCCCTTTTGAAATCTAAGTTATTTCAGATCAAACCTTGAAATGCTCATTTCCTTCCCTCAGCTGAAAAATAAGTCCCTGCATGTTACTTTTTGCCTCTTGAAAGGGAAGCTATCTTTGATTTTGCAGGAAATATGTCCCTACAACAGAGTCATTAGACATTTGCCATGGAAATGAATTCATCATTCTTCCCCTTTCAGCCTCATGCCTTGCCTATCCCACAAATTAAGAGTTTTTTGAAATTCTTATTCCGAAGTGTCTCAAATTCTTACTCTTAAATCTCACTCTTCAAAGTCTTGTTTCTGTGTTGTCATGATAGTTTTAAAAAGGAAGCTGGCTCTTCACACTGTCCCTCCCAATGATCAGAGAAATTTGCTTGATCATGTGTACTCAGAGTGGTCATCTGCATGTGAATTCTTGGCTGTTGCTATTTCATGACTTAGAAAGAGGTGAGGTTTCTGTATTAGAGACTTACCAAATAACTGTCTGGCTGTTTCTCCAGGCCATCAAAAAGCAATGGCATCTGAATGTGAGTTCTTGAGTTGTAAATTCTTACAACTGATGCAACAAGGTTATCTCACCTCTGAGGAAGGTGCCTCTGCTAGTTTGAGGATCAGAGAAAAGAGAAAATTACAGCAGAAAACTACATGCTGGTGATTTCTACTTCATAGCCTTGTCTTTCCTCATCTACCCTGCTCACCGTCCTCCTTTCAGAGCTCATTTGCAACTATATATTCCATCTTCCTCTTTCCGTGTTTCTTTCATTATTCTGAAGTCCTTTGTATGTGGCTTTGCAAAGGAAGGAATTTAACTGAGACTTACAGATCCAGGAATTTATTGACTGATCTTTTGCCTCCTTATTTTCTGGTAGAAGGAACCATCATGTTTGCCCTTGAATGTCTCTGATATTGAGGTAGGCTTTGAGGACTATGACAACAGGAATTACTGGCATGTAATTTTCCCTTTCATCCATCAAACGAGTGTCAAATACTTTAGTGGTCAGTACCCAGCTTGATGCTGAGAAAGCATTTCACACAGCCCAGCTGCCTTCTCCCTTTTCTTTATTATATAAAAGTTAGCTTTGCTGACAACTTTATTGGCTGAGTCAAGGTGTAGTACATCAGAGATAGATTTGAATCCTCGGCCTTCTCTATCCATTGAAGCTTTGGGATAAGGTCTCCCACTTTCTTGTTTGCTTACTACTTTTACAATTAAGGATGGTCGTATTTGCCAGAAATTTCCTTAGTATTAAACAATTGTGATTAAAGTATTTGGAGTAAAACTTTGTGTCTGCATGGCGGAGCATCTTTCATGTTTCTGTCACACTGTTAGATTCCACAGTCTAGATGGTCCTGACATTACAACATGCAGCTTAATATAATAATGAGATGCATATCAACATTTCTATTTTAAAAATATGTGCTGCAAGAAATTACCTGTGCCTAAAAAAGGTAATAGGAAACCATTTAACTTAACTGCATTACATCAAGTACATTGAACATCGTGCAACATGCTGCCCAAATTCTTGATAAACGATCTTAATTGCCTATCTTTCCCATTGCCTGGATTGAAATAATAAAAGTGAATATGGCCATTAGACAGGTATATCTTTAATGTGCTGTGGCTCAGATTGCCTCCTAAGGCGTTTGTCTCCACCTGTAAAGTTTTTTTAGGCA